CCATTACCACTAAACGGAAGCGGGTGTGAACTTTTGCCCCATTTCTGCCTCGCCACCAAACACACAGAAGCGGATACACTTATTAGATTATAAGGCAACAGACCCCCCCCCCCACACACACAACTTTTTTTTTTTCAAATTTATAGTCCGACACACAGGTTGGCTAAAGTATGGAGAAAATCAATGATAAACTTCAGCCACAGTCAAGAAGCAAAAATATCACGTCAGTAGCCAGGTAAGTTTTATCACTGTTTTTTTTTCAATATAAATTATTTTTTTTAATTTGTTTCTAACCTACCCCTAACTGACATATTTAGTCAGTGATAGATTCCAGACAAGAATCTTCTAAGGTTAATAATGCCGCACAAACCCCTTTCCCACCCCACCCCGAAACGTCTCCCCTTCTTTAAATTAACGGATACCAAGACTCAACAGAATCTATTTCTGTTAGATTCTAGGATAATGTTGGAGTGACTGCGTGCTCGTGCTGTGTGAATGTCTAGCATACGATATGGGGAAAGCCATTACCTACTGGCGTAGGAAGGGTGGGGTAGAGAGGAGGGACGATCCGCCCCGGCTGGAACTTTTTTCGATATATTGAGGGGTGCATTTTCGACCAACTGGGACGGGGGCGTTAAAAAAAAATGTACCCACCCCGGGCAGCCTTTAATCAGGCTACGCCACGCCACTGCCAAAATGCCAACACGTCCCTTGTTTTTGTTCATTGCTTGCCAAGATCTTGTTCTATTTCACGTTAGTAGGATGGAACGTTCAACTCAACCGTGCGGTGACTGGGTCAAGCTACTTACTCACCCGTGAGTTTGAAACAGAACAAAACAAACACAAAATTACATACAACAAGAAGTAAAATATTTTTAAAATTATTTCTGATTTTTTAAAAAAAAATCTCTTTCATAAATAACAAAGTTCCCATCGTATGTCTGTCTGGAGCTAACTCTATGAGGGGAAAGTCTTGTACAGTCTGGCATTTCATATGTAGTTGCGTCCCCTTTAACATCTCCTTACAATTGATGAGCTGAAATCTTAGGCATCCAAATTTGTGAAAACAATCGTCATTTATTACGGGGAGTAGCTAGAGATCATTTTTCCCCATTCATCAAATATATGATGTATTAATAGTTTAAACATAAAAGATTGTTCATACAATAACGTTTGACGTGTTATCGTGCCGGTACTCGCGTATTGTAACAGCGTTATTTGTCATAAAATATGTTTGTCTACGAAACTATTAGTTCCATCTTCGTGCGACCTCCTGTACAATGATATTTTGCTTTGGGCTCGCCACTGTTTTTAACCCCCCCCCCCTCCCCAATGTAAGCCCTAGTTATTCGATGGGTACTTTTCATGTTTCGTAGCTTTTGTTATCACAAACGTCTGCACTTATTGTCTTCCGTTTTGTTATCAGCCAGGGGAGAGAGCTTCGTGTCTTATCGTCGACGGCCCAGATACACTTCGGAGTTTAACATTTTAAGGATGGGGAAGGAAATGACTCAATGGATCACGTGATTTAAAGATCCACTTTACTGAGTTTTGGGGGTTTTTTTTTTTTGTTTTTTTTTTTAAACTGATTGGTTGAGAGATTTTCGACATGGTTTTGGAGTCTCTGTGTGCCCCAATCGTACCTTCTCCCTGCCACGTAGTGTGGGTACACGGTTTGATGCAAAACTTCTAAAATGTACCTTGTAGTGTGATTTAGCGCAGTGGCGAGTGTGACGTGACGTACGTTGTCTAGAGGTCGGTCCCCTGCGTACTAGCCACAGAACAATTTTTCAAGGGTCTAGAACCCCTTTATTTCTAGCTC